TTTCTCCAGCTCCTCAGACAGCTGCACACCACCATCCACAAACAACCTCAATCCTTCGTCTGCGCGTCTGCGCGTCTGCGCGTCTGCTTCATCCCTGTCTACCTCCTACTGCACCCTCCTGCACCCGTGTCATCGTACGCCGTTGCCTTCGTTCGCCGCCGATCACTTCCATAACTCGCTCACCCAGGACCACCATATCTCACATTGCACACAAAATCAACATCACAACACAAAAACGAAGCAACAAAAAAAAAACAATCCACGCACACATGCCAACAGGTACCTCGTCCACTGCCTTCTGCTTCTGACGATCCGACTGGCGGAGGGATTTGATCTCTGTTTGTGCTTCCGCCAAAACGCGATTCTTATCTAAAACCATGACACCACGTGATTACCATCCTCATTCGGGGCAAACCAAACTCTCAACTAACATGGTTTCTTTGAGAACTGGGCGCAAGGTCACCATATACTCTCCCGAACTGCTGGCTTGGGTGAGGTCGCGTACTATAGTGACTCGAATGGTTTTGGTACACCTCTCACTAGGACAAAGCTTTTCTGTCAGAAGAAGTTGAAGCGCGAGTTTTGAGGTTAGATTAACATGAGGAAGCACGCTTGCATTCAACACGTTGCGCAAGAACGAGATGTTTGGTTAAGTCTGTTGTAGTGGGGTTTAGTTTTCTTCCGATTGCTTTGCCAACTCTTTAGAAGATGCTGCCATAGATCGGCTGCAAGTGATCGAGCACAGAGCTTGGTTGGTCACGCAGCCGTGGATAGGTGAAGGATGGTGCTGGTGCCTCACCTCTAATCTCGTTTTCTAGGCGCATTAGCTCCAATCGCACTGGATCCAATCCGCTGTAATTATTCATCAAGCTTCGAGTGATGTGCCCTGTCGTCGATGCTCTGCGTCCAGGTTTCTCCTTCGGCAGGGTGGAAGTATGATACGCTTGTGGAGAGTCAACGCTCTGTCCCCTATTGCCATATGAGCTACTCCGCCTATCCAGGGAATTGTCCTCATCCCCTATGCTACTACTACTCGTGGAATCGACTTTTAGCTTTCCTACTAAATTCCTAGACACCCTAGAAGTCATCGTTACCCGCCGTCACTGCCTCCGACCGCAGAGTCCGTGACGACGCTGCTTACACGACACAGCAATCGAGGCAGCCACGGCGGACATGGCTGCACCTTATATCACCCCAACGGCATACCGAAACCCAAAAGTCCTTCATCATGTCTTCCACGTCTGCTTACCCTGCACCTCTGGTTCAAGCACAGGCCTCCAAAACTCGCTCCACTTCTGCTAAACGTGTTCATCTCTGCTCATCGTCGCGTGCCCAAGCACAGTCCACTGGACAATGCAACATGAATTAATAACCCCACCCTCTTTCCTGCTTGTTCCTCGTCTTCCTCTCCTCCAAGCTCAAGCCCGTCATACTTCATCTGCCCCTAATTATGCCTTCTCCTAATGCGCCTTCCCTGTACCGTGATGCGACGGACGAGTAACTACTCAAGCAACACCGCATCTAGTCATCATCGGGGGAGCTTCCACCTCTAATGCAGCTATTTCCACTCCAAACCCTCATCTCAGATGCCACACCGACGTCGGCAACGATACCAAGGTAACGCCACACTCCCGTCACGCTCATCACCAACATAACATCCCCATCCCCGCCCTCGCTCCCGCCCAAGCGATCTCCCCCTGCCCCCGACCAAATCGAATCAAGCGCACCTCGCTCCTCCATGCTAACACGGACCACAGCAAGACCACTACCCCGACACGCTATGAATTCACGCACTGTCACAGCAGCCACACTTGCGGGGCCATGTCGCTCCGAGCACTCGCTCACACCTCAAGGTAGCGCCGCTGCTGATGTCAGAGGGTGATGCCGCAATAGTGAGCGTTAGAACATAAAACAGTGGGTTTGTGTGTGTGTGTGTGTGTCGCTCTCGGTCTTCTTCCCCGCGCAAAGCGACAGAGAATTGAGGGGCGTGAGGGGGGCGATGGCGTGCACCAGATCGGCGTTGCGACGGGGTCGCGTGCTAGTTAGTGAGTGAGTGAGCGCCTTGTCGCGTCGCGGCGTGGCTGACTGGCTGACTGGCTGGCTGGCTGGCTGCGCGGGCCGCGTTGGATGGGAGCGCTTGGCCTGGAGTGGGAGCAAAAAACAACACCATCACGCTCAGTGCCTACGTGGACCACCATCCCGCGATTTTGTATGATCTTCCCTCCGCAATGTGCCTAGGTGGACCACCATCCCGCCCTTTTGTGTGATCCTCCGTCCGCAATGTACCCCCATCCATCGACCACGTTGGGATTTAAGGCATATTTTTGTTTTGTTTTGTTTGTTTGTTTGTTTGTTTGTTTTTTTTTTTTTTTTTTTTTTTTAACTTGCCATGTGTGTGAGAATCTCGAGGAATGTGTGTGACTCATTAAATTTAATTCATTAATAAATTAAAATTTGTCATTTATACCTTTATTTTATTTCTTGATATTAGGAGATTTTTATGTTTCTAGAAACTCATTGTAAAAGAATGATACAAGAAATCTAATGAAGGTCTTTGTTTGGTGAAAACCATTCTTTTTAAAAGTCTTGGTTTTTTGTTATGATGTAAAGTGAGAAGAGGTTATGAAATTGATCAAGTTGTTATTTTTATATTATAGATCTAAATATGTCATTTCATATTTAAATTCAAATAGTTAAAATATTTAGTGTCTATTTTTAGTATCTTGACATCATTTTTTTGTGAAAAAAACAGCTAGAGGTAGGTATATTGCAACTTCTATTTATATGATGTAGGAAAAAACTATATTCTATATATCTTTGCTTCTGAAGACTTTTGGGCTATTTTTTCTAATATAAAGTAAGCTAAGTGAAGCTTCTTGATTTTAAAATATTTCAAACTTGTGGCATCTTATCTTCTCTTTTAAACTATAAAGATTTTTTAAAACTTTTTTAGACAATATCTCACATGTGTAGATGATTGGTAGTTATAAGAATTTACAAATTTCATGAATGTAATTCATTGTACATCTAAATGCTTAGTAATCTTAAAATTATAAAACCATCCATGACAATAAGTTTATAATATTTGATTTATTTTGATTTAAATTACAATGGTGATAAGATAGAACTTGAAGACAAAATATTTCAAAAAAAAAAATCCAATTTAGATTAATTAGATTTTTAATTTTATTTTTTTTTATTTTTTTATCTCATCTTAATTGATTGGAACTATTCATGGTTATCAAGGCTATTACATATGCACATGTGTGCAAGTATATATATATATATATATATATATTCTCATTCAATATTTATCAAAATTCAGAATCAAGAGATGTTAGTTTTGTGACAAGGAATCAAACATAAAATAGTATAACTAAATGATTTTGACAATAAGAACTTATATTATGTATAGTTAAATAAATCATATGAAATTATTTTTACATAATGTAGTAAATTCTGGTGTGCTGTTTTACATTCATTCGTAAACAAATAAGAAAAATGATGAAGATGGTGTTTTCCATTGTGTTCGTGTATTGAACCAACGAATTTTTTTTAATCTACGGTGATTATTATTTACCAACTCAACAATTACGCTTTAGTAAAAATAAATAAATAAATAAATAAATAACATTTCTTTTGCAGCATTGCTTTATTTGAGATGTTGAATTTCTACATAACAAATATAAGTATCAAGTTGTAATTAGAAAAAGGCAACCTCAAACTTAATTTATTATTGACATTGTGTATATTATAACTTTAAATAAATAAATAATTTTTATTTTTAGTAAAAAAAATTATATTAATTTTCAATACTTTTAGCACTTTAGAAGATATGTCATCTATACTTTTAAAGTTATAATTAATATTTTATATTTTTTGTTCTGACTTATTCAAATTCTATAATAGGATTGAAGTTTATCATCTCTGAGTTACAATTATATGTTTCTAACTTTAGAAGATATGCTTAATTTTTCTTACAAGCAATATAATTTATTTTAATTATTATAATATTTCTAAGTCCTTGATATTACAATTCTATTCCTGAAAGTAGGAAGACTAAGGGAGTTGTGATTGATAAGCGTTGGAATGGGCTTACATAAATACTGTATTTTTTTTAATAAATGTAGCACATTATTTTGATTATTTCGATTCTTTCTTTACTAATTTGCATGTATTTCATTATCCGTCAAATCCTGTCCTTTTAATGGGTGTCAACAAATAACTGTCTCCTTTGTCTTATATTGTCCTGCTCTCCAATGTTTTCCTCATTCTACTTAATATATTCATTCCTTTATTTTATTATTGCAATCAAAATTGTATTTCATTATAGTACTAGTAGGCTTCAAACTAGCTCTCTTAGTTTATATGTACACTTAAATTTGTCCTCAACAACATTGTCTTCTTTTGCTTGCATAAATGATCTTTCCAATATATGATATGAACAACATAAAATTTGTATAAATAAGTAGCCTTCTTAGGTTTACTCTCTTAACAATGTTAATTTCTCATCTTTTGCAACCTTGTAATATTACCTTCCTCAACTTTGCTTGATTGCCCTTTAAATTCTTAAATATGGTCAAATTTCAAATTGATATAATATGCTAAGTCATGTATTTGTTTGCATTTTTTTTTATTTTGCATCCAACTTATTGTATGGATTGCTTCTAGTTTTTCTTTTAAACAAGTCAATTTTCAAGATTGTTATTATCCCATTGATTATTTATTTGTGTGTGTGTATATATATACATATATATAAATATATTTACACATAAACACATATACACACAACCTTTATATTCATTTTCACATATTATCTACAAATGGGAATTTTTAAACCTTATTCTACTCATTTTATAAAATAAATAAATGCATGCATAAAATTTTTTGGAATTGTTGT